GCTATGAGTTGGTTCCGACTCGATGGCACCTGACAACAACAACAACAATTAACTTTTTAAAAACTTTTTATTGTGAATTGAGTGAAGGTTTACAGAGGAGATCATCAGCTTTACATTCAACAAATCAGACACTTTGTTTCATCTCAATGATTATAATAGTCATCCTACTTTTCCCTCTGGTTTCCCACTTACATCTTAAAATTCACAAATGAAATTTGCTCTTAAATGCAGAGTAGCTAATGTGACTGGAAGAAGTGATGAAGTAAAAGAGTTTAAGAGAAGATTTCAAACGGCAGCTCAAGAAGACAAAGGATTATAATGAAATCTGGAGTCAGAAAACCAAACAGGAAGAACATGCTCAGCATTTCTCAAGTTGAAAGAACTGAGGAAAAAATCCAAGCCTTGGGTTGCGATATTAAAAGTCTATGGGAGTCTTGATGTGGTGCTTAGGATAAGCACTAGACTGCTAACCGCTCCTAAAAAAAAATCTATACAGGGTTTCTATGAGTCAGAACCAATCCAATGGCACTTAACAACAACAACAAATGGACAAAATATTGAATGATGCAGGAAGCATCAAAATAAGATGGAAGGAATACACAAAGTGACTATACCAAAAAGAATCAGTCAATGTTCACCATTTCAAGAGGTAGCATATGATCAAGAACCAATGGTACTCAAGGAAGAAGTCCAAACTACACTGAAGATATTGGTGAAAAACAAGGCTTCAAGAATTGACAGAATATAAATTGAAATATTTCATCAGGTGAAACAGAAACATACCTGTGAGGGAAAAAAAACAAACAAACATAGCCTTTTATTTACTAATAATCACTAGTAGCTTTAATGAAGATCCCAAACAAAACAAACAAATCCATCGCTATTGCATTTCCATGATAACCCCATATATTACAGAAAAGAATTGCTCAATAGAATTGTCTTGGCTGTAATCTTTACAGAAAGAGCCCTGGTGATGCCGTGGCTAAGTTTCAACCAACTGATGCAGTAGTGATGGTGCTTACTTGTGTATGCCAAGAAATTTGGCCAACCAACTAGAAGAGTTCCATACTTATGCCCATTCCAAAGAAAGGGGACTCAACAGAATACAGGAATTTCCTGAGCAGTGTCATTAGCATCACACATAAGTTACTACAATAGACTAGTATCATCTAACAGGGCGGAATTTGCAAGGGTCTTAACTAATACAATGGCAATAATGATGGAAAGGTAGAGACATATTTGAGAGCCATTCAGAAGTAAAATCAATAATGCGGGAAAACTGGGAAATGTAAGGGAGAGGTTAATCTAAGATGACTCTCAGACTTCCTACTTGACTAGCTGGGTAGCTGATGATGATAGTGATGAGAAACACAGAAGTCTAGTGGAAAAGATAGACATTATTTGACATTTTATATTTGATGTGCCTCTGTGACAAAAAAGTAATCATCCAGGAGACAATCAGAGATACTAGTTTGGGGCTCAAGACAGATCTGTAGATGTAGATTTTGAAGTTTAGAGACAAATGTTAAAAGCAGCATCACTTAGAAAGAACGTGTGGAATTAAACAGAGCTGAGAACAGAACCATGGGGAACATCAGCATTTAGGGAGTAAGGACAGAAAGAATAATAAAAGACTAAGGATAAGATTCAGATTCAGATTCATGGAAGTCCAGAATGATGTTTCAACAATGAGAATATTGTCTTTAATTCCACTAGGAAGTAAACTCTATGAAGGTATGCCATATGTCTGTTTTGTTTACCAATGTATGCCATAAGTGGATGCCAAAAACATTTCCTGAATGATTTAAAATACAAACCAACCGTATCAAATGGTGTGCCTAGATCTGGGAAGACCAAGACTGAGAAGTGTCCATTTTATTTAACAACTTTAGGTGTCGCCTCTGATGCTTGTCCTGAACAGTTCAGTGGAGTGGTGGGACAAAAGCAAAATGGGAACGACTTTAAAGAATAAACGACAAGGATGTTTTCACTGATTACTTTTCTACATTTTTTTAAACTAAAAAAAATTTTTTTTTTAAGTTAATGGGAGATGAAGAAGAGTAGCCCTTGACACAGGTCATTCTTGGATAAAATCCTGTTGCGTGGGAAAAATGAAAACAGAGCCTCAATTACAAGGAGGGACAGCGTCAAAGCGGATTTTTCCTTAAAATGGGAGGAAACCCGCTTTGTTCGCAGTTGAATGGCCAGAGCCTAGCACAATGCTTGGCACTTCTCAGGCGTTCAATAAAACCTCAAGCTGCCTGGCGGCGGACCTGCAGGACGCTGTCCAACACCGACAGGCAGTAGAGTCTTTCCTTCACGTACAAACGAAGGATCGACCCGCCCTTGACAACACCCCCACCTTGGGGCGCGTAGAACCCGCAGGCGGGGAAGGCAGAAACCTGCGCTCGGGAAAGCCCAGGGGTGGGTGGGAACAGCAAAGCCCAGCCTCCCGTTTCCCCCCCTGCAGGCTTCCGGAAGTGCCTCTAATTTCTGGACCCACGCTGCAGCGCAGAGCGGAAGTGCCGTGATCTTGTCGCGCGCGATTGGTGAAAGCAGAAATTGCTTTGCGGCTGTAAGGAAATTGATCCTCTTTCGACTTCCGCTCCTGGTCCATGCGTGAGTACAAGGCTGAGAAAAATGAGTGCGACCTCGGCAAACAGGTGAGGGTTAACGGGAACCTGAATCCTGTTGGGGAAATAATTTCTCTGGTTTGGAGAAGTGGGAGCTGCCTTTGTAACATACGACAGTGATTTCTCTCCCAAGGCTTCGCCACTCATTACTGTTTCTGCAATCCACCTCTTAAAACTTTTCATTAATTTCGTTTTAATTCGCACCTTCTGGTACTTAGCTTTTTTAGCCTCTTGCCTGTTGCGACCTCCCCATCTCCAGCTAAGTTAATGTTTCCTTTTACTCGTCACGTGACTACTTTCTTCCTCTGCCTACTTTAACCCTTCGCACAGGCAAATGCATGCGTTATTCAAGCCCCTCTTCTTGGAAACTTGTGCTAATTGGAGTCATCCGTTTTCTCTCCAGGTGTTTTATGCTCCCCTCATGGGAGAACTAAGTGAATTCCGTTTAGTAAATGGTTGCCTTTCAACTTGGGTTTTACTGTAAGGTAATGGTGGTGGTGTGGTGCTGTGGGTTAATGCGCTGGACAGCAAAGCTGATTTGAACTGCAGGGTCGGCGGTTCAAGCTCACCAGCCACTCCTTCGAAACCCTACAGAGGATCACTATGGGTTGAAACCGACTCGACGGCACTTCACAACAACAACATTGTGTGGCGCAATAGGAGGCGCAAGTCTCCTATTGCGCCTCACAGTTGCTGTTATGTGCTGTGGAGTCGGTTCCAACCCGTAGTGACCCTGTACAGGGTTTCCGAGGCTGTAAATCTTTACGGGAGCAGAAAGCCTCATCTTTCTCCCGCGGAACAGCTGGTAGTTTCGAACTTGCGGTTCGCAGCCCGATTCAGAAACAGAGCACCTCGCAGTAGGAGACTAATTTGTGTTCCTGGGTGTGCAGTTTACTCAGTGATAATCTACTTTGCCTAGCAAGCCCCAGGGAAAACCGGCTTATGCACGCAACTGTTTTTATCCATTTTCCTCTTTCCCCATCCCTGGGATATCACTTAGGATTCGGCTACACCTTTCAGGATGTCTTCCATGTGGAATGATGGTTAGAAATATTGTGAAACCATCTTGCCTCAAGGACATACATCAAGTGATAATATTTTTCTGTCGCCTCCTTTAGCAGCCTTCTGACTTTGAACCAATCGGAAGAACTAGTGGATTTGCCAAAAGACTACCCCTTGAGCGCCAGTGAAGATGAAGTAGGTGACAACTGTTAACTGCCTCCCCAGTTTTCTTCCTGCTTCAAAGTGGGCAACACAACAATTCCTGGGAAAGAATAGGGTGACAACAGTGGATCTATTTGCCCTGGTCTCAAATTTAGTGTTTGGTGCATGTAACATTGTTTTAAATGGGGGGGAGGGGTTTGGAAGAATAGCTACATGCTATTAAGTGGTATTGGAGTTTGAAGAATATATATGTTACTGTTCTCAAGTGTAGTTAAAGATATGACAAAGCACATGGTTCTTATGTGATTTCCCCATTTCCTAAGTTTGGATTTCTGTAGTTATTTAGTTATCTAGTGGAATACACTTTTGCAAATAATATTTTAAGCTGGATCACTAATAGATGCCATAGGAATGCCAACTATTTTTCTTTTGACAAAACTGACTAAATTGGGGGCTTAATTGAGCTGATGGGGGTGGGGGTGGCACAGAGCACCTATTTTAATGACAAGAAGTTTTGTTTGCTTGTTTTCTGGTTGTTGGTTTTTTCCCCCCTAGGAAAAGCTACTGTGGTAAGTGTGGGTATGACTTAACTCTGTGTATCAGGGTTTCTGAGTGTCAGAGCACATGATATAGTCAATTATTAAACAAGTTCAGATGGAGGCATGGCGTTACCCCCAGGTTACTAAGGACCTGCGGGCCTCATGAAGAGGGAGTTTGGTTTGTGAAGCAGTTCTTTCAGTTTGTTGTGAAATGCCTGCACGCCAGACCCCATCTGATCCCTCAATTCTTCACAGACAAAAAGAAAGATTTTGCATGGACCTCAATTTCCATATTGTTTTTTCCCTCATTGTTCTGATGATCTGTTTCCCATTTTCTGTGTGTAGGGGGACGGTGACGGAGAGAGGAAGCATCAAAAGCTTCTGGAAGCAATCAGTTCCCTTGATGGAAAGAATAGGTAACATTCCCACCAGTTTGGGCAGGTTACAACTAGCTGAATTCCATGAGGTTTACCGGCAACTAGCATTGATTGAGTTATGGTCCAGTGGGTTAAGCACAAGGTCAGCAGTTGTAACCTACCACCTGCTCTGCAGAAAGATGGGGCTTTCTGCTCCTATAAGATTTGCAGTCTCAATAATCCTCAGAAGCAGTTCGACTCTGCCCTATGTTGTTGTTGTTGTTAAGTGCCATTGAGTCGGTTCCGACTCATCGCGACCCTGCCCATTAACTTGATGGCAGTGGGTTGGTTAACACGATGAAGAAATTGTTAACTTTTATAGTCTTTGTTGCTGTTGTTATGTTAGGGATTGGTATAGTTGAATTCTTACTTACTCTATACCTAGAGTCTGTTGAAGCATTGAGCAGGTATTACTTCTCCCCATTAGAAAAGTGAATTGATTCACCCCAGGGTCACCCAGCTCATGATTCTAGGCATGTTTGAATCTCAGTCCAGTTCCCATTCCACTATAGCCTATCTTGTATTGTCTTATGTTTTTGAGGGGCATGTCTACATGAAGAGAAAAGATGAAGGCTAGATGACCTCCATTTACTCCTAGAAAGGCAAAACATTCAGGGTTGGTAAATACAAAAGTAACTACAGGTTAGAAGCTGGTTGACTTGTGATGATGAAACTTGACCCTAGAAGAAAAATATATGAAACCAGTGAATAAGGAAGGCCATAGAAGAATTGATGCTTTTGAGTTACGGTATTGGAGGAGAATATTGAAAGTGCCATGGGCTACCCATAGAACCAACAGATCTGTGTTGGAAGAAGTGCAGCCAGAGTGCTCCTTGGAGGCCAGGA